CTTTCTTGTTTCCTGGAAAGTGTATAAAAAAAGCTTTTCTAATACTTACTATGCAGTTGTTGATTATACCTGTTTCTCTTTCATGTGTCAAATCCGATACACTCAAAGTATTAGGAAAACCAAAATAGTTATAACTTTAATATATCTTTGCTACTACCATATTTCTTGATATAATGCTTTTTGCCATATTAAAACCTTAGATCTTCAGATTTAGTTCATTTAATTTATGGAAAATGTTTCAGGTTAGCCTAAATGCCAAAGAAGTCCTTATTATTAAAGCAGTCAGCAAAATTAGACCTTATTTCTCAATGTAAGTAAAAATGTTAATGTGTTAGTAAATTTGAATCCTAGATGGGCAAATGCATAGGGCACAGGCTTTGCCCTGAGTTTACTGTATAGATTCATCCTCCAGGAAGGCATTCGTAACATTTCCTACTTAAATATCCTACTTAAAAATTTTTTTCAAGTACAATTGACATACAATATTTATATTAGGTGTATAATGTAGTGATTAGACATTTATATAACTTACGAAGTGATCACTCCAATAACTCTAGTACCCATCTGATACCATACATAGTTATTATATTACTGATGATATTCCCTTTGCTGTTCTTTACATTCCTGTGACTGTTTACGAAACTGGCAGTTATGCTTCTTAATCTTTTACCCTTTTCACGCATTTCTCTAACTGCCCTTTCATCTGGAAACCATCAGTTTGTTCCCTGTATCTATGAATCTTTCTTCTGTTTTGTTTGTTCGTTCGTTTTGTTTCTTTAGATTTCGCATATAAGTGAAATCAATAGCATTTATCTTTCTGTCTGGCTTTTTTTACTTGGAATAATATCTTCTAGGTCCATCTATGTTGTCATAAATGGCAAGGTTTTATTTTTTTATGGCTGAATAATATCCCATTGTACATATGTACCACCTCTTTATCCATTTGTCTATTGATGGATGTTTAGGTTTCTTCCATATTTTGGCTATTGTAAATAATATTTCAGTGAAAATAGGCATATATATATATTTTTGTGATTAGTGTTTTGGATTTCTTTGGATAAATACCCAGAAGTGGAATTGCTGGGTTATATGGTAGTTCAATACTTTATTTTTTGAAGACCCTCCACATGGTTTTCCATAGTGGCTGCACCAGTTTACAGTCCCATCAGCAGTACACAAGGGTTCCCATTTCTCCACATCCTCACCAATACTTGTTGTTTGTTGATTTATTGATGATAACCATTCTGACAGGTGTGAAGTGATACCTCATTGTGGTTTTAATTTGCATTTCTCTGAGAATTGGTGATGTCGAACATTTTTTCATATGTCTATTGGCCATCTGTATGTCCTCTCCATTTTTAAATCAGATTGTTTATTTTTGTGTTTTTAAGTTGTATGAGTTATATATTTTGATCAGGTGTATCAGGTGTATCATTGGTGAATATCTTCTCCCATTCAGTAGCTTTTATTTTCATTTTGATAGTTTCCTTCACTGTGCAAAAACTTTTTAGTTTGATATAATCTCATTTGCTTATTTTCTTCTTTTGTTTCCCTTGCCCAAGGAGACATATCCACAAAAATATTACTAAGAGCAATGTCAAAGAGTACTCTGTATGTTTTCTTCTAGGAGTTTTATGGGCTTACATTTGTCTTTAATTTATTTTGTTTTTATTCTTATAAATAGTGCAATAAAGTGATCTATTTCATTATTTCGCATGTGTCTATCCAGTTTTCCCAACACCATTTAACTCCTTGTATACTCTTGCCTCCTTTGTCATAGATTAATTGATCGTATAGATGTGGGTTTATTTCTGGGTTCTTTATTCTGTTCCATTGATTTTTGTGTCTGCTGTTATGCCAGTACTATGCTGTTTTGATTACTGTAGCTTTGGAATATAGTTTGAAAACAAGGATGCCTCTAACCTTTGTCCTTATTTTTCAAGATTGCTGTGGCTATTCAGGGTCTTTCGTGATTCTACATAAGTTTTAGGATTATTTGTTCTAGTTCTGTGAAAAACGCCATTGGTATTTTGATTGAGATAGCATTGAATCTGTAGATTGTTTTGGGTAGTGTGGATATTTTAAGATGTTAACTCTTCCTACTCATGAGCACAGTATATCTCTCCATTTAATTGTATCTTCAATTTCTTTCTTCAGTGTCTTATTTTTTGAGTATAGGTCTTTTACCTCCTTTGTTAAATTTATTCCTGGGTATTTTATTCTTTTAGATATAATTGTAAATAGGATTGTTTTCTTAATTTCTCTTTTGGATAGTTTATTGGTGTATTAAAATGCAACCAATTTCTGTATGTTAATTTTTTTATCCTGCTATTTTACTGAATTAATTTATTCTAATGTCTTTTTAGTGTACTCTTTAGGCTTCTCTCTATATAATGTCATGTTATCTGCAAATAATGACAGTTTTACTTCTTTCTAATTCAGATGCCTTTTTTTTTCTTGTCTGATTGCTGTGGCTAGAACTTGCAATACTGGGTTGAATAAAGTGAAAGTGGGCATCATTGTCTTATTCCTAATCTTAGAGGGAAAGCTTTTAGCTTTTCATTATTGAGTATGATGTTAGCTGTAGGTTTGTCATATATGGCCCTTATTATGTTGAAGTATATTCCTTCTATTCCCCATTTTGCTGATAGTTTTTATTATAAATCGATGTTGGATTTTTTTCAAATGCCCTTTCTGCATCTATTGATATAATCATATGATTTTTATCCTTTATTTATGTGGTGTATCACGTTAATTGATTTGCAGATATTTAACCAACATCACTTCCCAGGAATAAATCCCACTTGATGATGGTGTATGATTTTTTAAATGTGATACTGGATTCGATTTGCTAATATTTTATTGAGAATTTTTGCATCTATGTTCATTGGGGATATTGACCTATAATTTTCTTTTTTTTGTAATGTCTTTGACTGGTTTTGGTATCAGGGTAATGCTGGTCTCATGAGTTTAGGAGCCTTTCTTCCTTTTCAGTTTTTTGGAATAATTTGAAAAGTATTAGTATTAATTCTTCTTTAAATGTTTGGTGGAATTCACCTGTGAAGCCACCTGGTCCAGTGCTTTTGTTTGTTGTGAGTTTTTTGATTACTGATTAAATTTCATTAGCAATTATCAGTCTGTCCAGATTTTCTGTACCTTCCTGATTTATCCTTGGAAGAGTGTGTTTCTAGGAATTTATCCATTTTTTCCAGGCTGTATAATTTATTGGCATATAATTGTTTGTAGTATTTTTTATTAAACCTTTTTTTCCGTGTTTTTAGTTATTATTCTCTTCCACTTCTGATTTTATTTGGGTTCTCTCATTTTTGATGAATCTGGCTAAAGTTTTATCAGTTGTGTTTATCTTTTCAAAGGACCAACCCTTGGTTTTATCGGTCTTTTCTATTTTTTTAGACTCTATTTCATATATTTCTGCTCTGATCATTATTATTTCCTTTCTTCTACTCACGTTGGGCTTTGTTTCCTGTTCTTTTTCTGGTTCCCTTAGGTGTAAGGCTAGATTGTTTATTTAAAATTTCTCTTGTTTCTTGAGGTAGGCCTGTGTTGTTATAAATTTCCCTCCTCGAACTGCTTTGGCTGTGTCCCATAGATTTTGGGTGGTTGTGTTTTAATTTTTATTTGTCTCAGTGTGTCTTGTTCCATTCTTTCATTTAGTACATGTTTCTTTGTCTCCTCATTGGTTGACTCCCTGTGTTTATTTCTACATATTAGGTTGCCTAGCAATATTTCTCAGTCTTGATAGAGTGGCTTTGTGTAGTAGGTGTTTTGTGGGGCCCAGTGGCGCAGTCTTGCTGTTTACCTGATCTGGGTGCTCTAGGGCTGTCGCTTGTGTGGATTGCGTGTGCCCTTCTGTTGTAGTTGAGCCTTGAGTGCTGTTGGCATGTCAGTGTGTAGGACTGACTCTTGTCTGGAGGGTTGTGAGGACTGGCTGTGACTATAGTGGGGAAGTCCTACTTTCTTCATTTACTCCCACTGGACCCTCCCTCAGGATAATTGGGGGAAGGGAAAGGTTTAGTGTCTAAACCAAAAAAATTGCCATTATTCCCACTATCCTCACTCTACAGTATATCTGCAGAAAATCTCCAAATAACTTAAAATATCAATTTCTGATACATCCCTCGTCCTTAACAGAAATGTATAAAAGACTGAGAAAGTCATGCTTTGCTTTTTTAGTGGTGCATCATTCGAATATTTACTCTGGAAAGTGGGAGATGGGTGGTTGTGCAAGGAGACCCAGCATGAAACCGTGACCACAGGTGTAGGTCACTCTTAGTTAGGGCAGGGCAGTCTTAGGAAAAAGTACATCAGAAAGTTGAGGATCTGGAGACTGATTAAACCCATCCATGCACCATACCCCTTGGAAAACTCTTGGGAACCCCAGGGTACATATATTTTATTCCCAGTGATGTTGGTTAGAGGCCCAAGAGCATGCCAAGATCCATGCCTACCAAAGGGGCGGGGTGAGTCTCCAGGGGACAGATGGGTTCCTCAAGAGCCACCATGTGGATCCTTCTCTAATGCTGGTTTTAGTGAAGGAAAGCCAGTGAGTCTTACTTTCTGGGCTAGGGTGGGGAGGTTAGAAGAACTAATAACCTAAAACTGTTTTTCCTCCTCAAATTTGAATACTGTACAGATATCTAGAAAGTAAAGACCCTTAATTAAGAGACATTTACTTGGTCTAAATTTATGAAAATGGTTGTGTTCTAAATTATTGTTGTAAAATTTTGCCTTTAAATAGCTTTTTAAAAAATATTATCAAGTGTTGAAAGTACAATTTAATGTTCTTCGTAGAACTCTTGTACTTCAAAATAAGCCACAGCCCCCACTTTGAGAAAAGCTGAAAAGTGCTTGGGGTTTAGTTCCCTGTTTTCTCTTGAGTATTATGGGCAAGGCCTCTGAGCTGCCTCCTATTAGAAAAGCCTAGGTTCCTGGGGTCTTTGCCGGTGTGGGCCACATTCTGACTCCTCTGTTTGTGCAAGAAGAAGCAGGGAGAAGTCAGCAAGGCAGCCAGTGCCGACAGTACGACCGAGGGCACGCCCGCCGACGGCTTCACAGTCCTCTCCACCAAGAGCCTCTTCCTGGGCCAGAAGGTAGGCAAATGTGCAGCCTTGGTCAGCTCGCGGGCCTGGGAAAGAGCAGTACGGACCTCATGGGTGTGGGCGGAGAGAGGGGGTAGGGGTGGCTTTAGGAGGGGCCTCAGGGAGGGCCATGGCAGGAGCGCTGAGGGGAGACTGGCAGGTAGGAAGAGGAGGTAATGGTTAAGAAGAGGGAAAGGCTCCTGTGGGGGGTTGGTACACCCCAGTTAGTCTTCGGAAGGAGCTGTTATCTGGGATAACCTGGTCATCATATAGCTGTGGCCGGAAAGACAAGTTAAAACTGGGTCCTGGAAAAGGAAAGATCCAGTGGGCAGCTCACTCCTGGCGGGCGCTGAAGATAGAGCCCCTGACCCAGGGGGTGGGATTGTTTCTGGATGTACGTAAGGATGCGCTGAGCTGCCTGACAACTCTTCGAGCCAGTCGTTTGGTTTTGTTAACCATGGGCAATATATTTTCAGCTACCCCAGTGATGCAACTTTGCCAGGACGCCATGGTTTTGTAAAAGATAATTCACTTTTGTTGAAAATAAAAATGATGCAAAGGCTTTTAAGACCTGAGAGTGAAAGTTAATCTTTCTCTATTAACACTAAAATTGGGATGGAGAAAGAGGAATTTAAACTTCCTTTAATTTAAATTTTAATCTTATATTTAAAAAAATTAAAGGCATGAATTTGACCTTCCATGTAAATGGTGTCTAGTTGGAATGTGGTTAACAACTTGATTCTGAAGTTGCATCATTTTTAGAGCCTCATTGTCAGCTTTCTTTTGCGTCTCAGTGACACAGTCCTGCTCACGTCATCGCAAGTGCTCCTCCTCCTCTCCCCCTTCTTGTCACTGGGGCAGGCTCTCATGATGTAATTTCTGTGGTGGACTCTGTGTTCCAGCAAATAACCATTACAATTTACATCTTATAAACACTATCTGTATTTTGTATGCATTTTTCTAAGGAAAATAAGCAGCACTAGTTGTCATCTTAAGGTCTGGGGCTTTTGACAGTTTTTGTTTAAAGTATTTTTTTTTATTTGTTTAAAAAATTCCAGCTCAGCAGTGAAGGCAGCCACCTGGGTCTCTGTGTATACCCTTTAACGTGTCCTTTGGGGAATATATTGAAAGTTAATGTGACCTGTCATCCAAATTGCTTTGGTTTAAATGAAAGTGTGAAATGCCTGCTAGTTGGGACTAGCTCCTCTGTGCTTTAGATCCCTAATTCAGACAATTAGCTAGGACTTGAAAGCCTGT